AGAATTGCTAATCCTACAATTCTCTATTCGTGCTTGATGACTGGGAAAATAAATACCGAAAATCGTCACTGTCTCCTGGACTATACAATAGATGATGATGAGAACTTCACAACAAATACACTTTTATGAATGGCTAGTTGGGGAAGTGGTCGGAACCCCTCAAAATTTTGGGCATTCATTAATAAAAAAAAGGGCGAAAGTAGCAATCCAAATAAAATGGTCTACAATGGCAGTGAACTACATTCTTCTCAGTCAATTTTCAACGCATTTTTTGATTATTAGTCGTACCTACCTAAGTCGAATTTTAATATAAATGATTTAATTGATAGAGAGTTTTTTTTTTTTTTTTTAATTTAGTATCATCGGATCAACTACGGTTATTAGCCTCGTGTTCTGTGTAGGCTTTGTTACTGTTTCCCAGCACCACTTTAGGAACAGCACTGTTAATTAGAACCCAACAGTGAATGGTCGAGTGGGGATTCCTACCAAGGCATCCGAATTAATTTTAAATAATTAAATTAAATAAAAAAATTCCGGCCAATGGTGGGTTTATTTATTTTCAACATAAAGAGCTTTAATGAGACGGAAGTATCAGATGCATTGAAACAAATCAAACCAAAACTTACGATAGTCCCGATAGAATTCCAGCGTTTACAGTTCGGGATTGTGCTAGTGTACCTGCACGTCTTCTAACAAGTTTATTAAATATCTGTTTAAAAAGTTCAACTGTACCTGAAAAATGCCTAAAGTATGCCCTAACCTCAAAAAAGGGGAAAATCAGATTTAGCAAACTTCAGACCAATTTCAATTATATCCAATTTCCGCAAAGTTTTAAAGATTCTATTTCATAATTATTTTTACAATTATATAAATAAATTGATTTCTCCTAAACAACGCGGATTTATGAAAGGACGGTCGACTATTACGAATTTAACGAAATTTCTCAGTACATTTCTAAAGCAATTAACAAGCAGACAAACTGATATTATCTACACAGATTTTTCTAAAGCCTTCGATAGACTTGTAAAAATTATTAAATTTTGGTATCTCCCGTTTTCTACTAATTTTATTTGCGTCGTATTTGACGAATCGTAAGCAATTTGTAATGTATAATGGGTTCAAGTCTTTCGAATATTTAGCAACTTCTAATGTTATACAGGATAGCAATCTAGGCCCTTTACTCTTTAACATTTTCATTAATGGTATTCTAGAAAAAATCGATGTTGAGTGCTTGTTATATGCTGATGATTTAAAAATATATTTTGAGTGTAATGTGATGTTCTTCTCTTTAAAAAAATCTTTTCTGATTATAAGCTTAATAATACCAATACATTACTGACTTGGGAGTAACATTTGATAAAAATATCTGATTTGTGCCTAATATCAACAACATTATAGCGCGATTCCTGAAAACTGGATAGAAATAAAGAGGCAGGTTTGAAATGGTTTATAGGCTTGAGAAAGCACCATCCTAGTCAGTCAGTATTCGTTCACCTGAGGGTTGCAGTCTATCACGAATGACACCATTCAATCCACTGAATGTATAGTCGTTCTTCAACAAGTTGGAAACAGCAAACTCGCGAAGTGAACATTTTTATGATGGTTCAAGAATTTACAATTTAGACAAAACCTCAACGACAACAGTCCAGAATACGAAAAAGATAATTGCTAGGAATCAAGCAGGTAAATTAAATGTACAAGCGGGGAAAGAGAAAAAAACGTACCTCTTGGTACCTCAGTGTCTCTAGTCATGATTTTACCGAGAAAAAATTAAAAAACGCATGTTTATTGAAGCTTCCCATGGTACGCTTGGGCTCGCTACCACTTTAGGATATATTCCGAGATATTTCGACAAGTTTTGGATCACTTTATTAAATTTACTTTATCCAGTATAGAAAAACCGACGCTCTTGATCATGGACAACCATGAAAGTCATATTTCACTAGCTACTGTTGACAAACCTCGAGAAAACGGAATTAAAATTTCCGCCTCATTGTAGTTATAGGCTACAACCACTAGATATGAGTGTTTTCTAATCCTTTAAAGCTCAGTATAATGCCGCGATAGATAGTTGGATTCTGCATCATCCCGGAACACCCGTGACCATTTACCGAATTGCAGAGTGCGTTGGAACAGCTTTTGATCGTTTAATAACGCCATGTAATATAAAATCATGTTTAAAAAGAAGTGGAATCTTTTCATTAAATAAAAATATGTTTAAAAAGAGTGATTTTTTGAATTCAGCTGTTACAAATCGACCCACTACAGATGAAAACGAAGCTTCCACTTCTCAAGGGAATAAGTGTGAAGTAAGCGAAAGGAACAAAGGTACAGAAAATCCAGTGTTCACTAAACAAAAAGAAATAGGATTTGTTAAATAACTGGAAGAAAGGAAAAAAGCATATCCGTGAAAAGGAAAAATTAAAAAAAATAGCCTAAAGTTACAGCTGTCGAAAATTCTAAGCGCAAACTTGTCGAATTTTTAAAAGACGAAGAAGAAAATGAAGACGTTAATCTCTTGACTCGGAAAATGAGAGCTGGATCTCTGAATTAAATCCAAATGGTTTTGAAGATCTTGCGCGCTCTCCAGAAGATGGAGAGTTTGTATTGGTGCAATTTAAAATAACTTTTTATTACATTGCAGTAGTATTGGAAGGCACCTGCGATAAAAAACAATACTTTGAAGTCCAATTTTATAGAAAGCAAGTTCCTGACATTGCAGTAGTTCCTGAAAGCGATATCAAAATGATCTTGCCAAAGCTTAATCAGCATGGCAAAACAAAAAGACAAGTAGATCTGGTTTAATTTGAACTTAGCTTCAGCAGTATTGAAGGTCGTTAATGCAATACCAATTTAATGGTTACACGTAGTTACTATTGGGTTAATAGTTTACTGTAACTTGTGTTTGTAAAAAATAAGAACCTACTATTTTTAATTGCTTGTTTCTGCTGTATCAATATACCTCACTACTGTTCCACTGTGAAACAAAGAACAGATTTTTTTTTTAAATTCAACAAAAAAACAATTCATATTTGCATCCAAATTTGATATTTTATTATAAAGGTAAAGGTAGAGTTAACTAAAATTTCTGATAAAAGTGAGATTTTGGTGCGGTATGTAGATTCGAGAAACAAAAATAAAAAAGTGGAACTGTGGAACACTCTCCCCTACTTTATCGTACATGAATCTATAGTAGATGCGACCGTGGTACTTGCGGCCACCATCTAAAAGTGTGGTATTTGCGCCCTATCGTACTTATCAAGCTTATTTGCTTTTCAAGAAGGGTATACTTAGTGGCAGTTAGTGCTTGTTTATATTTACAGATAGGCAGTAAACTTCAAAAAATATATATTAAACTTTTTCTACGAACCTCTAACAAAAATGGTCAGCTATTTAAAATTCTAAAAAATAATCGTAGCCCATTCACCAAATTTGAGCTGTGATTCATATCCATACAGTGTCCTTATTAAAATAGATCTTAAATTATATCCGTTTAGTAGAACGCAATGGCCTACTTTTTAGATCTGTAGTCTGTGATAAATTGCATGTAAGTGTAGGAAATCTATTTTTAGTTGCCCTTTAGTTTATTTCAAATTTTAAATATAATTAAGTCAAAAACTAATATAAAATTTAAAATGAAGTAAAGAAAGAAAAAAAAGTAGAATGGAGTCTCACAAAGATATATGTATTTCGAAGTTACATTACTTCATCATCTGCCACACCTAGTCGGAAAGCTGTAATGTGGTGAAAATGTTGACAAATATTAAAAATTATTAGAGAACAAGTTTATAGAAAAATTATTTTACTAAGAGAATTGACAAGATTAATAATATCTAACAATTACTGGTAATGTTCATTGAAAAATTACGAAAATGATAATGAACTTGTTGAAAAAGTAGGACGTAGACCAAGAAAAGAAGAAAAAACATAAATAAAATTTAAAAATCACATATTTTTTTTTTCACCAGGGAAACCAAAAAGTATAATAATTAAGATTTCATTATAATTTTTTTCTAATTCGTTAGAAAAATTATTAATATAGGAATAGGTTTAGTTGCACCTCATAAAATATTGACTAAATACCCCAACTACTTTATTGAATGAATATTATAATGTACATCCTTCATTTTGAAATGACAATATTTTGCAAGAGTGTCATTAAGGAACCTCAACATGAATAAGCTGTGCTCAACAATGTGCACTTGTTTTTTATGCATGACCACGTTTGTTTATCTTTGCTTTATTTTTTTAGTCTGTATTGATAGACATTATAAAAAGCCAAAGGTTTATTTTTGGAAGTAGTTATAACTTCAGCTACATCAGCCATGATACGGAAATAACAAAATTTCTCGAAATAATTCAATAGAAATTTTAATAAGCGATTAATCTCAGTGTACGAGTTTTTAATAAAATGTCTTGATGCGATTAAATTATGAACGAACAAATGTGGAACTCGTATATCTATTCAAAGTCAGTACCTCAACAGCTGTTTAATGACATTAAGGGTAATCCCTCTCAATAAAATACCAGGAAACAATTGTAGTACTTGTTTAATTAGGTCAAGGGTAAAGCGCTAAAATATTTTATATAGATATAGTATTAGATGTAATACACACATTTTCATTATCTTTATATAATATTTTAAGTTTACTTGCCTACTTTATATATCTTACTCTTTTATTTATTCTACCTACTTGGATACAAACAAGAGGGCGCAGTTCCACTCTTTTCTTGACCGTTCTTAAAAAGAAGATATTCTCGAAAAAGATACTTGGGCGCAAGTACCACACTGTTTCGTGGAAAGCGCAAATGCCACGGGCTCATCTACCACGTACCCATCGTACACACCGTAGTATTCTGAGGAATTGACAATTTTGCGAATGGTGGTAGTTGATGCAAAAACGCATGTTTTGAATTTATAATGGTTATATGTATTATGCCTATTATAACTGCAGTTGGTTTTAGAAATGTTAACAATATAATTACTAAAATATCCTTACCTTCATCACTAGTTCTGCTAGGTCCCCGAATTTGTTCATTAACGAAATTCGTACTCCTCGGAACGTTCAGTGCGGATCGAATCCCTACGGAGGATCCATCCAAATGTCCTGGACCGATTTTGGGTACGTGACTATTACAGTAAACTTCCTTATCCTCTTGCCGGTGTTGATTGTTATAATAAGTCTTTAATGTCAATTTCGTACCGCAAACGGCGCACTTAAAACATCCACTATGGAAAAACGTAAAGTCTTTCAACGGTCCCACTCTGTCCACTTGGTAAACGGTTTCGTTGCACCGGAGACACGTGCTTTCGTAAAAATTCGGACGGTACATGGCCTTATAATTATTTTGTAGCATTGTACTATGTATCTCTTTTCTCAGTTTTCACGTCTAACGGGATTATAATTAGTTAGATTGGATTTTTCATGAGCTTCTGGACAAGATTATAGTAGATAAAGTAACTATACAGACTGTCACAAAACGGACATGATTTTTTGTCGATTTAACCTAAATTTTTAAAAAATAATTTAAAAGAGAGTTATGGCACTTTGAAGTTGTTTTGCCAAAGCCCACTTGGCATCGTAATAAATTAATTTTTGAATCGCAAGAAGTTCAAATTTAATTTTCTAGAAAACCTGCTTCATAGCGATTTCAAACAAGAGTACTTTATTTTTAGCAATTATTTACAGTTTACAAATATGAAATATAACATAAAAAATTATAGAAATCTGAAGATAAAAAAATATAATTGTTTAGTTCCTTGTGATAACAAATTTACAGCGACCGATTGGTCATTAGAGGCTTTATCAATGAGCAAAGTTTAAACTTATGAGATAATGTAATTTTTGAAGTACGAGTATGTTGAAAAATTGACTTGGCACCGTCTTCAAAGAACTCTATATCCCTTATTAAACATTTTTTGATTAAGCTTCTGGAACATCCTGTATATAGAAAGTTAGCCATCTCTACGTATCTTCGTCATTATTTGAGATATCCTCAAAAAATGTTTATAAAGTAGCCCTTGATAAAAACTCACGTATCGGAGCAAAAAAATGTTTTTGAAGTGTCAGTTTTTACTGAAAATTTAAATTTTTCGCAGTTTTTTTTTAATAAGATTGGTGTCATTAAAATTTATAAAAGAAAAAACAATTCTCAAAATTTAAAGGAAAGTAAATAAAATGATAATGGTTAATGGTGCTAACCTCTTTCTTATTTTTCTATGACTTGTGCGTTCTACTTTGTACCCCTTAAATATGATTGCTCCTTTACCAAGGCCTGATGATGACCCTTGAGTCAAAACCGGTAGTCGTTTTATATTTCATTATTAAAACAGACTTATAAAACTCAATCTTCTCTTATTATAGACCGTTTTGAAAATTCAATTTGACTTAATAATTTGAAGTAATTAGATGGAAGCCGAAAATACTTGGGATGGACCGAAAATACTTGGGATATGCCTCAAGAAAAAATGAGAAAGCTGTACAGTTTTGTAAAAAAGTTTAAAACCACAGACCTGGGCTGCAAGAAAGAAAGGAGCGGGTTTGTATCAAATTATGCAAAGCTTGAATACACGACTGTACTCTACGAAGTTTGCGGCGATACTGATGTTCGTCCGGTTGAATTTAAGAATCATTCTTCGCCACGCGGATGTGGTCTTTTACTAATTAGAGCAATACCGTCTTGGCGAAGTATAATAATGAAAATAATATATATATGTGAAATATTACGTTTCATACTGGATGATAACTTTCAATTTAAACTTACATATACTAAATAAGTGAAGACTTAACATACCCCCCACCAAAATACATAGTATTTTCCTAAAATACATTATACAAAATAAAGAAAAATTTACTAAAACTGAGCAATTTAAAAGAAAATATAAAATAAAAGACAAAAAAAAATAAAAAAACCATGTAATTACTTGTCCACTGCGGGGAGGGGGACCAAAAAGCATGCACTTTTGTGGTATATGGATAGTTCCAAAACCACAGAAAGAACTGGAGTACTCTGAAAGCATACTCCAGGAGTAAATTCACGCTATTGAGAAGTGTATCTAATTCAACATCGCAACATCCCAGAAAAGAGATTCATCATGTCCGACAGTCAAGCAGTTATCAAGCTCTTACGTAATCAGCTAAAAAATGATCTGGAGTAGGCTTGCCAGATTTCATGAAAGAAAAAACGGGCATGTTAAGTATATAGCGTTAAAAAAACGTGCTGCTGGTGAATATTTTTATAAGGTTTCAAGGTCAAAGGTCTTAGGTAAAAAGTAGAAAATTTTAGGGTTAAAAAAATAGGACCTAACATTTTTTTTTAAAAATTAATATTTAAGGTACCATTTCGGAACGTGCGACAGACCACATACGACAGCAGACGCGACGGCAAAGGAGACCGAGAATGGTATCTTCACGTCTGAACACATGCAATTATATGAAACACATTTCGCAAGCCGCGACACGTCCGAGAGACAGAAGTCGACGACAAATACGTCGGTCTTGTGGTAGTGCCTGTCTCGCTTAGTGGTCGGATACTATCGATAGTCGGCCCTATCCATAGTTTCCAAAGGTCTCAAGAGTTACTATCGATAGTACTATCGAAACTATACCAATGTTATACGTGATACTGAATTAATGGATCTGGGAATCCCTAGTGATTGCATACGGACATAATATGGGCATGTTTCTTTAATTAATTCGTAAAGCAATAGGTAGCAGCACAAGCAGGAAGCAGAGACACAAGAAAACTCGAGGAGACACACTTGCGATTGCGTGCGTATATGATAAAAAAATTAATTAGGACACCTTTAAAACGGATTATGATCTAGTGCTGAATTGCAGAGTGCGTAATATATAAATTTGACTTATTTTTAATTTTAGTTTTAGTTATTTTAAATCGAATTCTGTGAAAACGAATTCGAAAAATACCACAAACATGCGATTTTAAACTATCATTGTTTACTTAAAACAATCGATAGTTTTCGATAGTAACAAAATATCGATATTATCGATAGTGCTATCGATAGTATCTGACCACTAGTCTCGCTTAGTCATCGGTTGTATTTCGAGGTAATTAGTCGATATTTTATAGAAATGGTATTTGCGACGTTCTATTCTAGGCACTGTTGCCAGATGAACATTTGCTGGAACAGTATGGGAGAAAACAAAACCGTAGATCTGAACAGTACATTTTGATACAGGGGGAAATAATTATAATTTGCAATGTAGTAAATGAAACAAAAACAAGTATATAAGGAACAAAAAATAAACATTTTTCTACCCAAGTTAGAAAGTAAACAGAATAAAAACTAATAATAACATTTTTAATACCTACTTAACGTACGGAAACAAAAAAGAAACCAATGGAAAATAATAGTTATTTCTTTTAGATCAGTCTGAATCAGATAATTCAAATACGTTGTGTTTGGCATGCATGTTCTTTTTATGATGCCCTATTATTTCTTTGTTGCATTTTAAATAAAAACATGATGATTATCTTTTATGGATGGAACCTACATTAGTAGATGTTTATTATGCTGCTTTTATTTCAGCAAATTTACTAACGAAAATATTCTTTGACCATTTGCTGAAGAATGAGGCAAACTTAATAAATTAAGAACAAAATTTGTTAAGTTGGCGAAAACAGTAGATTTTATGCCTAAAATAGGAGAACAGAGACAGAAACAGTGGATCTACTTAAAAACAGTAGGTCTGGCAACACTGATCATTCCCTCGAACTGTCGTCTACGGTTGTTGTGTCACCTGTCTCCTTGCATCCCAAATGGGTGAAGCGTAACGTTAATGAAATTGTAGTCTGTGCGTCGCGTCTGTTGTCGTCTGTCGCGCCTTCCGTATCGTAACTACATCGTACGCAGGGATGGATTAAGGATGATTCAGCGATAAATTAAAAAATAACGGACACGGAAAACATAGCGGACCGCACAAACGGGCGTCCCAAAAATAACGGACTGTCCGTTTAGAAACGTACGTCTGGCAAGCCTAGTCTAGAGATGCCTAAAAAAACTGAATGAGCTAGGTGAGAAAAATACAGTTACTCTCACTTTGTTTCCTGTACACAACGTAGTAAAGTGTAACGAATTTGTAGATACTTTGGTAAGGAAAGGGGCTCAAACACCCTTTGTGGGACCTGAACCATTTTGCGGTATAAGCACAATAATAGGATAGATCAAAAAGAATTGGGCAGTGGAAGAACAGACAATTGAAATCTTCTCTTGGACTAAGATACTTCTGGGTGACTATAACCAGAAAATATTGAAATTCTGTAACTATCTAAGCATGAACAGGCTACGCATGGTAACGGAAGCCTTAACCGGGCATTGTCAACTTAAATTGGGACTATTAGAAGGTAGTGAGTGTAGATTTTAATTCAAAATTGTGGCCAAATGTGCTGCACTACAGAATAAAAGAGGATACTCTGCTCAGATTAGAGTCATAAGTCCAACATTTTCTTGAGAAGATAAGATTAGAAGGGTTTTTATAGACATCGTGACTATTGCCTTGGTACATTAGCGACAAAAGGGGCACTACTTCTAATTAAAAATCAAATTCCCAAACAAAAATTATACAAAATTTACAGAAAATTGTAGGAAAGTTCTGATAAAATCATTGTTTCTAACTTTATATAGATTACTTAGAGAGATGTAGTAAAGGAGACTGCTTAAATCACTACCACCCTTGTACGTTTTATTACGTAGATACAATGTTGCCATTTTAGGCACAATACCTAAAATCATAACTTACAATGCCTAACATCATAACTTACAGCTTAACTTACAAATTATCTCTAAACTTATCTTTAAGTTACTCACTGGTCAGTAAAATATGTACAAGATGGCCCAACGAAAACTTGATATGGAGGTTTTGGGTGTAAATATCGTGGATGTTAAAAATAGCTCGGACAACCCTCAAGCAGTGGGATGAACAACCCCTACAATTAAAATTGGGAAAGTGCCATGGATGACGCATCATTGAAAAGGTTTTTGATGGAGAATTCAGCAATAAGACTATTTATTGCGTTACTTTTGATTTTAGCGCCGTCTGTTACGTATTGAAAAGGGTGATACTTCATTTGGAAGCTAATTTTATTACTAATTCAACCACATAACATTTATCTAAATGTTTCCATATTGGATTTGCAACAGACTAAAAATTAGTCATTGTTTGTATTATTACTAACTTTATTTTGTTGCAAGTGCATTATGGAAATATTTAGATTACAGGATCCGAAGTAAGATCGACCTTCACCCATCTGTTTAACAATTGAAAGTTTTTTTTTATTAAATAAAATATGTTTATAAATATACTGCAAATGGGTTGCCTAAGAAAATACTATCACGT